TGCTTGAGTCAGAGCATGTGTCTCTGCGCTCACCCGTGCTAAAGCAGCCACGGACAGTCATTAACCAGAGAGCACATTTCAGCATGGACAGTTTTTCAGAGCACAACGTGGCACCTCACAAGCCTCGGCCCCATTTTGCAGCCTTCAGAGTGCAGAATAAATTAAAGAAAACTGGGCCAAGACATCAGGGCTTCCGTTTCCCCAAAGGAACAGCACTAACAAGCTCCCTGGCTCTGCAGTCCATGCAGCAGCAGGCACAGGCTCCTTACCTCTGCGACTTCACAGCAGAGAACTCCTCAGAGGTGATGTGCTTCAGAAAATTGAAGCAGAAAAAGAAAATCTGAGCAAAGGGAGAGAGAAATTAAAGAAAACTGGGCCAAGACATCAGGGCTTCCGTTTCCCCAAAGGAACAGCACTAACAAGCTCCCTGGCTCTGCAGTCCATGCAGCAGCAGGCACAGGCTCCTTACCTCTGCGACTTCACAGCAGAGAACTCCTCAGAGGTGATGTGCTTCAGAAAATTGAAGCAGAAAAAGAAAATCTGAGCAAAGGGAGAGAGAAGAGCGGATCTTATCTTGGTGGGGATGTGCTGGCAGGAAGGAGATAGCATGAAATCTGCAGCTGCCAGCCTCCAACGTGCCACGGGCTGCCACCATCTCATCCTGGGCTGTTTCTTACATTTAAACTGACCTCTATTTCCTGCCACGGGGAGGCCCAGAAAGGAAGGTGTTCAACAAACCTCTTTATCAATGCTTTGCAAACACGCCGCCAGCACATGGTGGGTACTTACACCATCAGTGCAGAACGGAAAAGAGATGGCCCCCAGCAGCTGCTTGTATGCCCAGGTAAGCAGCAAAGCCAGCAGGATTGGCAGGGTTAGAGCCACTCCATCTTGGCACCACAGCTGTATCACATCTGGAAGTGTGCCATACCTGCAGCCTCTGCAGTGCCAAGCCCGTGTCCTGCTATGCACCAGTCAGCTCTGGGGCATTCACCCTACTGTGCTGCTGCCCCCCCATCTTCCTGCACAGAGCTGTGGGGAGCTGGGAGTACTGGAGGCAGCCATGCAGCCCCTCTCCTGTTTGGCTACTGACTCCACCCTTGGCCAACCAGGCACCAGAGCAGAGCAGGACTGCCAGGCTTGAGTCAGCAGAGCTCTAAGATAGGAATGAACAGGAGGAACAATACTAATACAGGCATCCTGGATGGAAAAATGATAGAAAATAGACCAGGGTCCTGGCTCTGATGAGTTTGAGAAGCAGAGGATTAACAACAGGGTTAGACATAGTACCCACTTCCTGATCTCTATCCAAAAATTATATTGCAGTGTACTTCAGCAACAGTCAGAGCAACCGTTTTTTGCTGTTAAACAGTGAAAGATTTAGAGCGAATTAGTTCCACTGACCTTAACTACCTCTCAAACCCATCTGTGCACCTGCAGATACACCCCGCCAAATATGCACATCAAAACGAGCACAAGCTGCCCACAATGGCATGCAAGCCACATGCAGCTGCAGCAGGCAGGCAGGAGGGCTGGCACTGAGGACAAGCACGCGAGAATCTACAGCTTCATTTCCAAGCTCCCACGAGTCATGCACCTTAAGCATCCTTTCTCACTGCTGAGCTAAATAACAAGTCCTAGCACCTTTTCACCAGGGGCCTGATCACCAATGGCACAGCTGGGGAACCTGCAGGACTGACACCCACCAACGGGGCAAGGCTCCTACATCCTATTTCCAGCACCTGAACAATCTTTTTAGAGCCCAGCCAGACCAGTGACGCTACCAGGAAGCAGGCAATGAACACTGCTACCTTAAAAGTACCAACAAAAAGCAGTGCTCAGCCACTACCCCAGCCCAGACACTCACCTCTTCTCCTTTACTGAGTCGATCGACTAACATGTGCCTAGAAAGGGAGCAAAGGAGGAGGTCGGTCACACGTTGGAAGCCAGAATCAGCAGAAGAGCACAAGCTGTCAAGAACAGCCCAATGCCTGAGGCTCCAGGTAAAAAAAGGCATCAGCCCCTCATTGCAGCTCACTGGGAGCTGCCCCCACATCAGCCTTTGGTTGTGAGCAAACACCAAAGATGACCCCCTCAATGGCTTCTTCCCTGCTGTGGAGGGATGCATATTCAAGGAAAACTTAGTGTGCTTACCCAAAGAGAAACCAATCATAGGCCACTGTCAGGTAGAGAATCTCAGACGGCTCCAGGGATGTGTGGATCAGCCCATCCTGCAAAGCAAATGAGAACGACCTTCAGGCAGCAGCCCTGGGGATCGAGACTTGGGAATTCATGAGCTACTGAAAACTGCCACGGTGATCCAAGATGCCCAGCGTGCTCTACCTGCCTGTGATACCGTGCCTGATGTGGGCTCCACATCAAAGCAAATCCACACCCTCTCTGAAGCCAAGTTGGTCAAAAGGAACATTAACTGCTCCACCACCACTTCCTGGTGATGCAGCCACTCACTCTCCAAGTGATCATCCCCAAAGCAGAGCAGCTCAGTCAGGTACTCACAGCCCATAAGGAGAGGCGCAATAAGGAGATGAAGAGAGGAGTTCGATCCCAGCCGGAAATACAGTGCACCAGGAGCCCGCTGTCGTCTGTGCCAGGTGGGGGCAGGAAGGAGAAGGAAAAAGAAAAGGAAGTTGTAACAACAGCAACAGCTTTTCTTTATGACAAATCTGTAGTGACAAGCTACCCTCCATCCCCATAGCCTGGGCTCAGGAGCAGAGCTCAGCCACCAAGCCAGAACATTTTGTCTTGAAAACGGCAGCCAACAAATTGCTGAGTGTCCTGGGTTGTCAGCAGCCCTGGCTGATGTGCTGTCCTAGTCCTGACAGCTGCTCAGGACACGAAGTCACTAGGTATGAACATCACTCTGCTATCCAGAACATACACCCACCCAGCTGCAACCCACTATCACAATCTATCCCCACATCAGGGAGAAGCCTGCTATAACTGAACATTTTCTCAGCTGGAGCCCTGAGATGCTAGGACCCATCACCCTGTTTTGAAGGGAACTGATCCACAGTGGCACTAATATCTCAGCTGTTCTTCCAGAAAAAGCAACTGTTCCAGTTAGGCCACTGGGAGCAAGGACTTCACCTTACCATCGCTATTGATGATGGAGATCAGCAGCTTCAGGTAGTTCTGCGTTTGTTGCACGAGGTCCCAGCTCTGTGCAGAAAGAGAAACATTGATGGTAAGGGTCCACTCACAGCAAAAGGCTGCTCTGCAGTTCAGAGCCCACCACGCTCTTGGCTTCCCTATCCAGCACAACAGCAACGCAGATACAACCCTGTGGCCACTCCTTAGTGACAGATTCCCTTGCCCCTCTAACTACTCCCCCATCCTCTGAAAAAGGCAAAAAATAAAAGACCATCTCTCCTGTCCACCTGGCTGGTACAGAACCTGCTTGCCTGCAGCTCCAAAGCTCCAAGCAGACCATGCTCAGAGAGACGAACGTGAGCCAGCACACACCTGCAGAGCACTGACCCAGTTCTGCAGCTCCCTCCAAAGTGTGCACGTTACCAAACGGATCAGCAGCCACGTTACAGCTGCGTATGTGATGTGAGTAGCATGACGGGGTGAGCAGGCCAAGGTCAGCAGCCTATTCCCACAACCCAAGTGCTTTGCCCAAAACTTTCTGGCCCTTGTAACCAGCCCCAGCAGACTGCCTGTGGGGCCGCTCCCAGCTTCTCCAGACAGGCACTGGACTGCTGCAGTAACACCCAAGTAACAGCAGCACCACAGAAGGGCTCTGAACTCAGAGACCTTCCAGCACTGCAAGAAATGCAGGTGAAAAGCATCACAGTAAGCTCAAGTGTGCCACTCTTGATCTTGAGTAGATGCAGGGAATGTCAGCAGTCTGATCAGAGCCAGAACTAGCTCAAGGAAAAGGGGATAGCACTAGTGAGAACAAGGCAAGGAGAGGGCCACATGTTTCATCCTGCCAGTGTTAGTGGTATAAGTGGCATCTGTCCACAGTGCATAACCACACTAAAGACTACGGTCAGACAAAGAACATACTGCCCTGCTGTGAAGCCTGCACGGCAACAAAAGACTGGGGAAATGGGGAACACACTCGGCCTGGAGCAGAAAAACACAAGCTTCCAAAGTCTTTTATCTGCCCAATTCAATCTCATCTTCTGCTCATCATCATCTGATCATCCAGTCTGATCTCTCTGTATCACAAACCAGGAAGTTTTGTTCAGTTGCCCCATATACAGCCTGAAGCTTGCACTTGGCAACATCTCTGCCCAGAGAAGCACTTCAGCTAGGGGCTGAGGGAAGCCTCTGGCAGCAGCTTCCAACACATCACCCTCAAAAACAAATATGCAAAACTGCTTTTCCTTCTTTGAGGGTCTGATTTCAGACTGCAGATATTGCTTCCTGTGCAGCTTTTCTTCCCCAGATTGAAGAGTGCTTTAGAATTAGTATTTTCCCCCTGCAAATGTTCTCACACATTAATCAAGTCAACCCTCCATCACCTTTGTGATTAGCAAAACAGACGGAGAACTTTAGCTTTAAGTGAAGCACCTTCTCCAGTGCTCAGATCATTTTCGCATCTATTTATTACACCCTCTTCAATTTTTAATATCCTTTCAAAAATACTGGCTGCTCAGTATTCTAGTGAACAAGTTTCTAGCCGTGAACAAGCTGTAGTCCCATTAGTTCTGCTTCAACACTGCAAGCTACTTTTCTGTGATTCTGCTTCGCTTAAATGTTATTTACATCGCTGACTGACAAACACTGGCCCAGCACAGGGAGCTCTGATAGTTCTGTGCTGCTTCCAGCTGCAGTGCATAGCAGCATGACACGCACCAGCACAGTCAATCATCACAAAACCTGGGGGGATTGGTAGATCCACTGATGTGTGAAATGGAGCACGCTAATCAGCACTATAAAGTGATGCTCCCTGGTATGAGCAGACAAAGGTAAACCTCAAAGCTTGGGCAAACATAAGAATTCAATTATCATTCACGACGCTGCCACAGTAACAAGAAACAGAGACATGCTATGGTCAATTAGGATTTTCTACTCTCCTGTCATAGGGCAGGCAGCTTGTACACAGCCAGAGGGCTCTACTCACATAAGGGAAGGCTGACCTTTCCAAGACTCTCCACAGTCAAGGAATTCTGTGTACTGCAGGCACCTGTCTTGCTAAGACAGCAAGAGATAACTGCTTTCTGTTTGCTGGCATGTTCCTTACCTTTGTTAGCAACAAAGCTCCCTAATGGTTTGCAAGCTTTGTGCAAGCTACAGAAAAAGACTTGATGTCGGCAACAGACACACCAAGCCGTGGAGGTTTGGGGTAGAGGATTTCACTGCTACTCTGAACAGTCGAGTCTGCAGTTCCACTCCCACTGGGATGGTGTGACGTGAGCCAGATTATGGCAACAGGAGCAAGTCAGACTCCAAATCTTTGCTGATCCTTCTTGAATGAATCTCTGACCTCCCACAGAGACACCTGCTTTGCTCACCTGGTACTCGCTCCAATCAATATTCAGAGATTGGGTCAGAGAGACTGGGATACTTAATGGAGCATCTACGTAATCCTGCAAAAAACCCAAGCACAATTGGTCAGAGAAAAACCATGACTTGAAGGCAGCAAGTTCCAGAAAAAAACAAAACAACAAGTGCCAAATGGTGCATCTAGAAGAAAACATCTCAGCAAAACATTTTCAGATGCAAAATCCTGCAGGGGTAAGAATTAACTCATAGTCTCCTGCAAGAACCAGTGGACAAGAACAGATTTTTCTGTGCTCCCAAAGGTGAAAGCCAGGGACAAGGTATGTTTGTTTCTGAATTCCTGTGGGGCTGTTCCACTCACTCAATCATCTCCCTCAGCAGGAGATAGAGTAGGAAGGCAGAAGTGAGAACAGAGGCTACCAATAAGCTATGAAATTCAATAACAGGAGCAACCCATAGCCCCCAGGAGAGGTCAAGCATCCTGGACTTCAGGATGATTCATTTATTTTCCATATGAATTTTACAATTAATAATTCAGCATATTCATTATGCATTTCTTTCGTCCTGTTGATTTCCTCCTTGGGATCAGAAATAAGCACATGACATATACACCATTGCCAGGAACTCTGAGGCAAGACTTCAGCCCAGTGAAGCCCACAGCTCTCCATCTTGCGACATCCACATACCTGTTTCCAGTTAAATATGAGACCTTCAGCTGTATAATCCCGGTCTTTGTACTCCTTAAAAAATTCACAGCCTGCAAGAAAAAGAGGTAATTCCGTTCAGGTAACCGACATCTAACAACTGAAGTGCCCTGAGGGACTGGAAGTGCTGGCAGCCCCGGACTCCAGAGCACTAAACCAATCAAACCTGCTGCCTGTGGGAAGAGGAGAGCAGTAATCACCAGTACAGCGTGCAGCACAGCCTCCCAGCAGCAACAAGCCAAAGCACTCAGCAGTCAACACGCTCACACAGCAACGGGCAAACTCCAAACACAGCAGATGTGGAGTCTGAGGGACTGATTTTGTTCTTTCTCAAACAAGAGGTTTCACCAAGGAGCTACGCTTTCCAGGGCTGCCAGCTTTTGCACAGATCTAAGGCATCAGCCTGACACCCTGAATGAGAAGCAACCAGCAAAAGGAGGTGTTGGCAGAGCCCTGGGGAAAGACAACTTTCACAGGGCATCTGCTGCAGGTAACAAGAAAGGGCTCTGTCAGGGACAGCTGTGATTTCTCTCACATTTAAGTTTCCTCTTTCAAACACACGAATTGCCCTGTTTGAAGGAAGCAGGTACATGACCACTTCCAAGGTTTCTGCCAAGCCTTCCCCTCCTGAAGTTTGTCCTTTGGCTCCCTTCTTCTCAAACAACTATTTGAAGCCTTTGCTGCAAACTGCAGTCACTTAGTCACAGCTGAGCAGCACCATTAGCACTGCGGCTGCCTGCAGGCTACACAAAACACCTCTCCCAGTGTAGTTTGTACGCCCCAGCAGTGCCACGGCGCCTACGTTACCAAGACGCCCCTGTGCCAGGCACTGAACACAGGTGATGATTCCTACCCTGCAAGTCCCAAGTAGCTCCAATGGTGGAAAAAAATCTCTGTGCAAGGACAGGACTAGCCCTCAAAACCACGCAGTCAGGAAGCAATCTGTCAGTTGAGATTTAACTCCAATTAAACAACAGCTTAGAGTAAAGAATGGGAGATTATGGTAGTAAGTATTGGCATCTACAAATGCCAACTATAAGGCAAATGGAAAAGGTTTCGGCACTGGAGAGCACACAGGCTTCTACAAATGCCCCATTTTAACAGAACTCTTTCACTCTAGACAGTCATGTCTGGACACTGCTACACTCACCTAAGACAACAGGATCCCAGAATAACTTTAGAGACAAATTACAAAATAAAAAAACAGTCTTCCAGCGCAAACCTGGGAACATCAGGGAGAATGTATCATGGCATTTGGCCAGTCACTAGAGGGGCTGCTGATCCTTAGATGTGTGCGTCTTACATTTACCAGAATGACAACATTCCCCCCTGGACCAGCACTGCTGAAATCAGGCAACATCTACAGGGAGGATTTACAGTTGTATAAGGTTTACCTCTAGCGTGGCAGTGAAGAGCTGCTAAAAGATAGCAGCTGTCCCAGATGGCAGAAGAGGAAGGACCACCACTGAATATTGCACACATTATGCAGATCCCCATACAGTGGTAACTCGACAGCTTAACTCTCTACAGAGTCACTTCCTCATTCTTCACAAACCTACCCAAGACCCATGTTCGCTGTCTCTCCCTTGGTGTAAGTTTGGTGAGGCACATGGCAGCACCACGCACCTGTGCCACATGCTACAGAAACCTGCAATACTCTTTATTTTTGTATGCCTCTGCAATCCGCAGGGAAAACTTGATAGAAATCTTAAGCAGCTTCTCTGAATTGTCACAGATTTCTGTATGAAAGGAAAAATACCCTTGGAAAAAAAAATGCTTAAGGCCAACGACTAATAATCAAGGAAAGTTTGGGTTTGAATCATCCACAATAGTTTTGTTGGGGATTTTTCGTTTGTTTTTCCTCCTCTCCCTTTCTTTGTGTGCAAGGTCTCGCAGGTAGCCCTCAAACCCAGCAGCCTCACATCCAATCCTATCACCAAGCAGGCAGCAAAATTCAGCTCATCTTTGGGAGTGCAGCAAGTGACCCAGCAGCGGTTGCTAGGCACAGGGACTAATATAGTCAGGGAGATGGGCTGGAGTGGTCTGCAGCTCAGTCGTACGTTGCAGGTTAACAGCTCTGCCTAGCAATGAGAATATCTTACAGCGGTGTTCTGGAACATTAGGACTAGAAAATCCTCTTAAGAATTGGTGTTTTACATAACACAGAGCAAGATATATATTTTGCATAAAGTAGTAGATTGGAGTTGTGGGAGTGTCAAAGGCCATCTTAACCCCAGCTCTACCTCTGGGACTTATTCTCCGCGGTTGAATTCATTAGGAAATGAGAAATTATTTTGCCACCTCCAAGAGTGCTTAATGCTGACTCACACTGTAAGAGCATCCAGATTCGTTGCACTGTTTTCGGTTAGAAGAGCTTCTCTCCAGAGGGAGCATAGGAAACATTCAGCAAGCCACAATCATTTTAGCACCACATACACGGGTAGTTCCCAGTTCCCAGAAACAGACTGTCACCTGTCCCTTGGGAGTCCCTCTGGACACCAGTCCTGTACCTGGATATGGGATGGAGAGGAGCGTGAAATCAGCATAACGTTGAGCTTTGTCCACCTTCTCAGAAGACGTCACGCTGCACGGGACAAGGGGAAAACAGCACACATTTGTAAGGCGGTTTTCATGGAGATGCCAGCACCCAAAAAGCTACCTGTCACATCTCCCTGCACAATGGCTTGACTCAGGAGTGAGCAGGGGCAGAACTTACTCAACTCTTCCAAATAAACCGGTATAGCCCCCAAATACTAAAGCTTTCCTCTGGAAAGGAGAAATACCTCTACCTGTTCCTATATACAAGCATAGGTCTCCCTTACTCTCTCCTTCCTGAAGGGCTGACTGTCACATCACTGCAAGCTCTGCAGACAAAACCTACTCAGACTGCAGAAGACAGATGAAAGCAGTGATCTTGCCCACTGATAAGAGTTTTCTCTGGCCTAAAATCTTGGGGTTATCTTTACAGCATCAACCAACTGGTCCTGCTCTAGTGCTCTTCCCAGGTTGCTGAGTGCATGCCCAATAACAATTCACATATAAGGGCTACACTGTCTGCAGTCAAAAGCCTGCAGGAAAACAAACGAATCCAGACTCACTTCAAGCCAAACTTCACCTTCTTGTTTTCCACCATCAGGTCACAGATGTATCGGACAGACAGGTATCGAAGCAGCTTGATGTCGTGCCCTCTGACCTTGTCAAACAGCTGTGAGTCTGCATTTCTGCAAGAGAGAACAAGGCGAAGGAAGATGAGCGCGGACAACCATGTTGAGTCTGATTCATTGCACGATGCTGCCACAGCTCTTCCCTGAACCACTTTGAGCCGTAAGCTGTACAGCACGAGCCTTGTGTCTGCAGATCAGAGTCAGACTCTGCAGTGAGCTGACACTGCAACCTCTGTGCTTAGGGTCCTTCCCCATGTCTCACCCTGTTCTGCAACAAGCACATAAGGTACAGAACAATTTCTCCAGCCTGGAGATGTACTTTTGGATGAAGTAAACATGTCTGTGTAATTCAAACACCTTTTTAAATAGCTCTCTATATTCCTGTTTCCAGCCTTTCCCTCTGGCAAGATTAGCAAGCTTCAGTTACACTGGGCTCAGCCAGCCATTAGCATTCAAGACTCCTTTTCAAAAGCAAAGAAAGTAAGGCTCTGAGTTTGAAGACAGTCCCTATACCCAAAGCCCAGCCTAGGAAAGAGCAGGATTGAGTGTCTGAGCCAGTCAGCTTTGGTCCAAACTCCCTTTTCCCCATCTCAGTGATGCATACAAACCTAAGTGCAGAATCTTCCTCTGAAATGTCTTCTGCATCTGCCCAAGCATCATCAGAGCCTCCTGCAAAAGGAAGGCATGAAGAAATGAAGCTTGTGTAAACCAACTCAATCCTCAATCTGACAAGACACGCACGTGCCCAGAAAGGTCATTATTTGGTGCCTTCTCTCCACACATAAGTGCTCTCAATAGTCCTCCACATTTCCTCTTCCTGAAAAGCCAGTTTTCTAATGTAGCCCACTCTTAGACCTAGGAAGGTCAAACCCATAACTGACAGCCAGAAGGACACCCCAACTGTGCTACACAGTGCCTTGTTAAGCCAAGCTTCAGCTCCCACACTACACACCCAATATTCTCCTGAAGAGCTCTCCCTAGCGTGCAGTTTCTCTCTCCATTTGCAGGATTTAATTCCTAGTGATTAGCCAAGCAACAGCAAGTTCTTATTCTCTTTCCTCCATTATTCCCACCCCTGATATTTGGGAATCCATGCCCTGAATCCTTTGGGTTGTCTTACTTGCTTGCCTACATGCTTCCCATAACTTACTCTTCAGCCTCAAGTTCTTTTGTCACTGCATCTTATGAGTGATGGCACTCTGTCCTGTAGTATGGTGTTTGGAAACGGACATGAGATTTCAGTCTTTGTTACACAGGGCCTGATACAAGTGGATCCATGCTAGAGCAATGCATTGGCTCTCAGGAAGAGCTTGCTCTCCTGTGCAGGTCACTGTCCCAGCCTTACCAAGCAGACAGTGACAAACAGCTCCTCACTCACCTGAGAAGATGTAGTTGTAGCCAGTACGCCCGTAGAGCTCTCCCCAGCCGGCCAGCGTTGCTGATCTGCAAATATGCTGGAGGAAGATTTCGTTATTAACCACGCGTGCTCCAGGAGCCTTTCCCTCATCAGCTCTCTGGCCTATTTGCTGTCAGGTTTCATAGAAATGGTTGGTACCCACAGCTACCACATCTCAGCAGCCTGCCCTGCAACCCTGGTCCAGATTGAGATCTCCAGACACATCAAGCTCCCAAGTGCCTTTTATCTGTAGCTAGTTTTTACATGGTATTTTCATCTCCAGTTCTCCAATTCACTAATACAGTCAATTCCTGCCGAGTTAGCAATGTCCATGCTCTGTTGATACCCTGCTTGAGCCTTATTGCCACATTCCTGCGGATAAGATTATGGAAGGTCCATAGATTACGCAGGTCCAAGATTATGCAGGTTCAGCCCACGATGGCTTCAGTCAAACTAGATTAAAATTGCCACAGGTATGATTTTGCATTCATACTGTGTTTCTAAATTGACCTAAGGAAACTGAATTAAGCTACTTAAATTCTAAACAGGACTACTCCTACAGGGCTTCAATACAGTTTAAGTAACCCACAAAAAAAAAAAAGAATCTAATTTCACTTTCTTACAGATCCCCTTGCAGACAGCCCACACATTCACAAGACCATTTATGCAATCTTGCCTCCCCAGAGAGCAGACGAGGGAAACTTCTCTTTAGAGAGAAAAGTTACGCAAAGGGAGGTCACTGCTGGGAAGAGCGAGGGGCAGAGTGGCAGCAGTTGTCTTTCCCCTCTCGTAGACCAAATCTCTCTGGTCCTTCAGAAGGGACATATATATGGAGAAAATGTGCAATGCTCATGACGTGGCAGGGTGAAATAGCCTAGAGTCCCCACAGATGATTTATGCAGGCTAGACAGCAAATGCTACCTACCACTACAGGCTGCCTGCTTGAACCTAAGGACAGGTTTTTACAGCATTTGGAATGGTGACAACCAACTGAAGATGTGGCTGCACGGCAGGGAGAAAGGTCATTTTCTATGTCAAGACAGGTAACCCATGAAGCTTTACCTTTCCCTTGTACAGAATGACTGGGCAAACAAATCGTCCTCTACACCTCGCCATCTTACTTCGGTTGATAAGGTCCTGTAGTTTGCCAACCTGCACAGTGCTCTCAAACCTAGTGGACAGAGATTGGGTTCAGTACACAGAGCATCTTCTCACAAAGCTTTCAGCGAAGCTGCTACAGACACCCTGGGCTGTAATCCCCATCCCTTTCACCTAGAAGCCAGCTCTGAAGTTCACGAGCAAGAGGAGACTTCTTTAAGGATTGCTTCCACTGCTATACAACGTGTATGGATGCTTTTCTGTCTCTTTTTCTTTATTTTGGAAGACCAGCTGCACAGGACACGACAACAAGCATCTACATGGGTACCATCAGACTGGTCTGCCACAGACAAACATGGATCACTAACGAAGGACTACCACAGTAAGCCAGTGCCTACAAAAATACACGTTTTGCTTTCCTCCCCACCACCTTTCCATCAAAAAGCAGCTCAGCACTACCATCAGAGTTAATTCACTACTAGAGTGATAATCTTGCAAGGGAAAATAAAACAGAGAATCAAAGCTTGCACACTCAATGAAGCTCAGTTCTGGTCACCTGAGCATTTGTGCTGCTGGGTGACTATAGACAAATGCCTGTAAATCAGCTGGTGGGCTGAGCAGGGCTGTTCCATTGATGTCAGCTGCACCTGCAGATCTACATTTTGTTTGGTTTTCTGGTTAAAGTTAAAACACAAATGTGTTCCAGGTTGGAGACACTTTGGAAACATGTTAAAATTGCTGCAATTTGTCTGAGTACCAGCCTACATTTGATACAAATCCAAACTGATTTCTGAGCTACACAGACCTTCAGGAGGAACTGTCAACGTAGGGAGGACCAGAGTTTCCACAAAGACTTGGAGCAGCAACCAAACTGACATAACAGAAACCAAATGAAGTTTGGACATACAAAACTGCACGGCCACGCAGAATTTCCAGTTAGCCTTTTCCAGTAGGGGAGCTCAGTAAAGAGCCCAGATGAACTGGTTGATCTCTGGGTGCTCGTTTATCAACACGGTAAGCCTGAAAAAAGTGACAAATGAGATCACAGGAAACTCTCCAGCGGGGTGGAGAAGTACCAGCATTACTGTGCAGAGCACAAAACCTCAGCCAAGATAAGGCATCTGACTGTAGTGACCTACCCACACCCAAAAAGGCACAGCAAGACGATTAGGGTGGCCAGGGGACGGTCGATGCTGCAGGGGAAACCACCATGGATTGATGGGCAGAGCAGATGAAGTGAGGACACAACAATATATGCATTAAGACAAAGAAGAGAACTTACAGTGGAGGAGAAGAACTCAAAGGCAAAGGACAAGGCTGCCCTCAGAACAAATTAATACCTTGATGGTGGAAGTTAAAAGAAAGTTGCTAAGCTTCAGAATCAGTGAGAGCATGGAGCAACCTACCTGCAGCTGCCACTGTGGGAAGGATTAAGAGAAATTAATCTATTATTAACATGGAAATTGATCTGTTTATGGAAAAGACTGTACAAGGTGGTGCCAGTGGAAGCAGGGAAACAGCAAACAAGGTCTTCAAATCCTGTTTTTAAAAGGATTCAATTATCAGGATTCATAGTGGAGACTTGAGATTTTTCACGTGTATCCCCACACAAACAACAATTTTGGCTATCCAGCTCAGAAGAGCTTTGACACAGACCAGAATTTAAAGAACAGGAACACAAGTTCATCTTTAAACGTTGCTGACACGAGGGTGCTAAGTGCAAAACCAGAAAAACGCTAACAAAACACACTTCACACAGGAGAACCTGAGATCGTGCACAGGCAAGAGAAGCACGCGCCTGATCAACGCAACCTGAACTGCACTCATCGCTGTCGCTGCAAACAGCCAAGAGCTCCACTCCGCAATCTTCTTCCCTCCTGAGAGAGCACACACCGCAGGAACGGCCTGTGAGCAGCTTGAGAAGAGACCTTCGTGTATAATTCCCAATACCAAACTATTCTGAAATGTTGAGAGATCCTGATGTGCAGATTTGGTTGTGGCGTTGTTTTTTAAATGAATGCACGCAATTAAAAGACGCGTCCTGCAGGCTGCTCCAGCTGTTTTTTAGTTTCCTTTGTGAAAGCAAATACAGAGGGGAAACAAGAACTTCAATGTGGTGTTACCAGAATAGCTCCATGGCACTGCTTCCAAGTCCCGGAGATGGGATCCAGCAAAAACCAAATGCCTGGAAGATCAGAAATGAGGAGAGAAGCACCTTCCTGGGAGCTGAGACAAGACAACAGGTTTCACCACCCAGCACCTTAACTGTGCTTCCCTGGAGAGGGAACACTGGGGAATGAGTCTGAGCAGCTTGGCAGGGACCTGTGGTGAGTGGGAAGCCCAGCACCTCACTGTGTTGTAGTTACAAGAAAATTCTGGCTGGT